CAAGACATAACTTGTCTTGAAATTTTTGTATTTTGCTCTCGGATCATTAGCATAAAAAAAATTAGAAGCAAAAGAAAAGAAAAAGAAAAAAAAAACAAAAGCAAAAGAAAGAAAAAACAGTAGCAAAAAGAAAGAAAACCGTAGAAAAAAAAAGCATTCGAAGATCCAAGGCACACGAAAAGTTCTTTTTATTATGTTGTGTTTTGTTTAAATTATCAAGTTGTTTATCCTAAGATTGAGTTGCTCTAGCCTTAGTTTGTGAGAGTTGATCATTGAATTAGTTATATCAAGCTTTAAGCAAGATTGCACCAAAATTTAAGCCAACCCTTACATCTTTGATCTAGTASCAAAAGCCTACCCTCGAGTGATAAACACGAGTGTCCTTGAGTGAAATCCTAGTGAGAGGRGTGGAAAGGTCCTKATTTTGTTATTTTATTKTTCTAACAAAATGTCRCAGGAAGTACCGCAAGATCCTACTATGGCTATTCTTMAATCAATTCAAGGTATGGTGGAAATGATGAGGGAAGATAGACAGGAAAGAAGGGTGCAACAACAAAGAGAAGAACGAGTCTTACAGGAAGATGAAGGTATGTTTGACTTCGATGTACAAAAAGAACAAGTTGGGAGTAGAGGAAGGAATAACTTTGCCAACATTATGCAACCGAGGAGATGGGAAAGAGTAAATGAAAAGAGAGATGGCGGAGCTAAACTCAAAATTCCACCATTTAGTGGAACGGCGGACCCCGATGCTTACTTGCGATGGGAAAGGAAGATAGAACATGTATTTCATTGCTCTACATATAGTGAAAATAAGAAGATGAGACTTGCCATTGCCGAATTCATTAATCATGCTAATGAATGGTATCAACATCTCAAATCCGAGAAAAGAAGGAAAGATGAGGATCAAATAGAAACTTGGGAAAAACTCAAAGAAGCCATGAGAATGAGGTATGCTCCCAAACATTATAAAAATGATTTGAAAACTAAACTGCAAGCTTTGAGGCAGGAAACAAAAAGTGTTGATGAGTATTATCAAGAGATGGTGATTTTAATGGAAAAAGCACACATTCGAGATGAAGAGGAAGACACCATGTCTAGATTCCTTGGAGGTTTGAATCTGGAAATTGTTCATCATATTGATAGAAATCCACCACCTTACTTGGAAGATATGTATCACCATGCTATCAAAATTGAAGATCAATTGAGGAAAGAAAAGGAGCATTCCAAATGGAATGAATTCATGCAACCAAAAGGGAAGTTTGGTGCTGTCAAAAGAGTGAAGGCCGAGAGCTCCAATGCCAAAAACAATGAAGTTCCAAAGGAGGTAAGGGAGAARACTAATTCTCTTAAATGTTGGAAGTGCAAAAGGTTTGGACACATGAGCAAAGAATGTGTCAATAAAGAAGTCATGGTAATAAGAAATGGTGTCATTGATTCAAATGATGGTTGTGAGAAATATGATGCAAAATTTGAGGAAGAATCTAAAGCACATGTTGATGAATTTATTAAACAAGATAGCAAACATTCTGATGTTGATGAAAGTGAGTTGAAAGAAAAGAGAGAAAGAGAAGAGTTAAGAGAAAGGAATTCAAAAAGGAGAAAGAAGAGGACAAGAGCAAGATCCAATCCATTTGCCAATATAAGCCAAATCTTATGACATTGTTGCATAAGGACCCTTACTATCAAGCTAACATACTTTATCCTAGTGTTTCTACTTTTCTAAGATTYTTGCAGGAAGTTCCAACTCTTCAAATCAAGTGTGGTCGAACACAAGTAACGATGGAAGCTATGATGGAGCCAACGAGAGTTATCCTATCATCTATTCATKATCYAAAGATTGTATTACAAGGTAAGTATAAAATAGATCTTGATTTTGAAGATACTAACTTGCTTCCTTATTGTGTAGGTAACCATGAACAAAAGAAACCTAAAGTGAAAGGCATTGTGGAAAAGTATTTGTCTAAGAAGTCGCATAAAGAATTCCATGGCCGAGAACGCAGAATTGTATGTTGGAGAATGCAAATGCAAAGTACCAAGTGGAGGAAAAATAAATCCGAGCACAATTTCAACAAACCAAGTGATTGGGTTTGGAAGCACTTTTGGAAGGAACGAAGAATTTGTCCAAGTCCAAACATAAGAAGACTAAGAAGGATGATATTACATGAAGACTTCAAGATTGCACTTCAAGGAAGTCAAAAAGTGGTGTTAACTCAAAGAAGGCAAACAAGAAAGGGCCACAGAAATTTTCAAGAAGAAAGAAGTGACATGTCCAACGAAGAAAATCATAAATCTTCAAGCTCCAATATACAACTCACAAGGTAAGGAACAAGTTGTTAAGGCTTATCATTGGACTAACTTGATTCGTTTTGATGWAGGAAATGAAAACCTTGATTTGAGGACAAATCCTTTTAAAGAAAGGGGGGATGATACGAATCCATTTGTGACCAATTACNTCTACTGAAAAAGTGGCCTTGCCTGGTATGAAATGCGCAGACTTTGTTAAGCGATCCACAATCACCCAGATCACTGTGAAACCTTTAGCCGTCCTTGGCAACCCTGTAATGAAGTCCATGGCTACGTCATCCCATTTCCACACAGGTACACTMAGAGGTTGCAGCAACCCGGCAGGTCTCTGTCTTGAGGCTTTCACCTGTTGACACGTCAAACATTTACTAACAAACTGGGCAATTTCACGCTTCATGTTGTGCACCATTAATGCTTCTTAACATCCCTGTACATTTTGGTGCTCCCAGGATGCACCGAGAACGGGGTACTATGAGCCTCGGTTAATAAGTCCTTCATTAAAGAGAAGTCTCTTGGTACACACAGTCTCTCCTGATAAAGCAGGGTCGTATCTCGAGAAAGAGAAAAATCCCCTTGACCCACCATACTGAAACCCTTGCTCAGGCTGGGATCTCCCTTCTGTGCAGCGATGACCCGCTGTCTTAAAGTGGGTTCAACCGAGAATCGAGCTAACACTGCCGAGACATCTTCCACCGCTAACTCCACCTCAGAACGATCTAACTCGTCTAGTACTGGTCTACGAGGCACTGTCGGAGGTGCCATGCTCGTTGCCCTCCTACTGAGTGCATTGGCCACCACGTTCGCCTTGCCCGGATGGTAGTTGATCTCACAGTCATAGTCCTTTACCAATTCTAACCACCTCCTCTGCCTTAGGTTAAGTTCTTTCTGAGTGAAGAAATATTTCAAACTTTGGTGGTCGGTGAAAATTTGAATCTTTTTCCCGTAAAGGTAGTGTCTCCATAGCTTCAGGGCAAACACCACCACAGCAAGCTCCAAGTCATGGGTGGGGTAATTAAGCTCATGTACCTTTAACTGCCGCGAGGCATAGGCTATGACTTTCCCATGTTGCATCAGAACGCAACCCAAACCCCTCCGCGAAGCGTCACTGTACACCACTAAACCTCCCGTCTCATCCGGTACCATTAGTACCGGGGCCGTGACCAAACGCTTCTTTAGCTCCTGAAAACTTTTCTCGCACCCATCGCTCCAAGCGAATGTGGCATTCTTACGGGTCAACTGCGTCAAGGGCACCGCCAACCGGGAGAAATCTTGGACGAACCTCCTGTAATAGTCAGCTAGCCCGAGAAAACTGCGGATTTCGGTCACGTGCGAGGCCTTGGCCAACCACTGACCGCCTCTACTTTGGCCGGGTCCACGGCAATACCTTCCCTGGTGACTATGTGGCCAAGGAAGGCCACCTTATCCAACCAAAACTCGCATTTTGAGAACTTCACATACAAGCTATTCCCCCTCAAGGCAGTAAGGACCCGTCGCAGATGTCCTTCGTGCTGTTCTTCTGTCTTGGAGTAAATTAAAATGTCGTCGATAAATACAATCACGAACAGGTCCAAAAATTCCTTCAAAACTCGATTCATGAGATCCATGAATGCCGCAGGGGCATTAGTGAGTCCGAAAGACATTACAGTAAACTCAAAATGCCCATACCTGGTCCTGAAGGCTGTCCTTGGTATGTCGGCGTCCTTAATTCTCAACTGGTGGTACCCCGATCGTAGGTCTATCTTCAAGAACACCCTCGCTCCTTTCAGTTGGTCAAAGAGGTCGTCGATGTGAGGAAGGGGGTATCTATTCTTCGTTGTCACCTTGTTCAACTCTCGGTAATCGACGCAAAGTCGCATAGATCCGTCATTCTTTTTCACAAAAAGCATTGGAGCACCCCAAGGAGACACGCTCGGGCGAATGAAGCCCTTGTCTAAGAGTTCTTCTAGCTGAGCCTTGAGCTCCTTAAGTTTCGTTGGAGCTATACGGTATGGTGCCTTCGAGATAAGGGCTGTCCCGGGTAATAAATCGATGCAAAAGTCCAGTTCACAGACAGGAGGTAGCCCCGGGAGGTCTTCACGGAACACATCTGGAAACTCTTTGACCACGTGGACGGAGTCGATGCTGGGTGGAGTCACACTAATGTCGACGACACTGGCCAAATATCCCTAGGCACCATTCTGTAAAAGGCTCCTTGCCTTCAACGCTGAGACTGCCCTTGGAACTCCACCCGTAACTCCTTTAAACGTAAANTCTTGCTTTAGGTTTGATGTTAAACCGATTCATTGGATTAGTCTCGATCAAGCTAATTCTGGAGTGAGTCGTCTTAGGATCTAGGAGTGTCTATCATAGATTCTAAGTTCGATCTAAGAGTGATTCATCTTCTAACCTTACTCTTGGTTGGAATCATTCGGTAAGTTAGTCGTTTTTGTGAATGTTTGCAAGGATCCTACAAGGACCTCTAGCTTTGTAAACCCGAGCAACCTTGGCGCTTATCACAGTCCTTGACATTTATTCCCAAGGTACCGATGACTGTCCAGCGTATTGGTCCTTGACATTTATCCCCCAAGACCCCAATACTCATATACCAGAACTGAGCTACGGCCTTGCCATTTATCCCCAAGGCCTTGCTCAAGGCTTTGCATAACCAGCGACTAATGTACAATCTCTCTTCAAGGGACGCCCAGGTTAACGAACCACTAACCCAGCACGTCACACCTGGCAATTTCCACCAATCCTTCCAAGACAATCCCATAAACACGTCCTCCACCCTTAAATTCATAGTCAAATTTACCAGCATGTTTTTCATTATACCAAACAAAATCACTAACACCACAGCTTCTAACAAAATATAACAAACAATAAAACTATGTAACAGGCTTTCCGTACGTACTTCGTTCACCGCACAATTTACCAGCATGCTTTTCATTATACCAAACAAAATCCCTAACACAACAGCTTCCAACGAAATATAACAAAGAATAAAACTATGTAACAGGCTTTCAGCACGTACTTCATTCACAGCACAATTTACCAGCTGCTTTTCATTATACCAAACAAAATCACTAACACAACAGCTTCCAACAAAATATAACTAAACGATAAAACTATGTAACCGGCTTTTTATAACAAGTCATGCATTTCTTATAATGTCTAACAATGAAAATAGCAACATGGAACTCGACAAAATCACTAGAAGCCCTCAAAACCAAGACTAACAATTCCTACATGCATGAAATAAATTATTTTAATTAAAAATCAGAGCAAGACTACTCCGTTAACATTAAATAACACACGCACTCGCCCCTTGGTGCTACTTACACACTGCTAGGCTCCTATATCTTGCTTCAAATCACCACCTAACCAACAATAGACAAACGAAATAATTAATACAAATTTCCAGCCGTCTAAATTCATTCTAAGAGATCTCACAATGTCCATTACCGTAAAAATCGACTTCGTCTAGGTGCGGGTAACTGAGGCCTAACTCGAATAAATGTGGGTTGCGTATATCGAGCCTCTAATGGTTATGGGTAGGCGCCGAGATCGGAAACTGTTGTTGTCCGGACTATTTTAGCAGTAAAAACCCACCAAAAACGATACCCAC